ATGTCGCGTTTCGGATTCACCGTGAACAATCTTAAAAGAATGACGTTTGCTTGTCCCGACGTCGCTCGTACCTCCTCACATTTCTTTCGGTTCACAACACGCACATCTGAAACGAATCCGCGATAAACGAGCGCATAGAGTAACATTTCTCCTTATTTCAACCATGACCTTTAACGCACGACGCGCGTTCTCAGATTTTATCCTTTAAAGTATGATCTCCGATAATATTTTCTGGCAACAGTTGCCCTCCTACTTTTCCGCTTTCTTCTTTACGAAGTCGGCGGTCGCTAAAAAGGGAAAATCTTGTACGCTCTGTTTCGTATTTTCTAAATTTTATAGAACCAAATATCGTGAGTATTTTCTCTTCTCTGTTTATGTATTTATATGTTATATTGAACATAAGTCCGACTGTTAATAATGTATCTGTGTCGATTATTTACGACTTCTCTGTCGATAGTCAGACAGGTATGGAACATGAAAGGCTAAAAGCAACGCCAAGAACACCGCCAGTGGAAGAGTCTACCTGGAAATGTCATAGCTCATCCAGACGCAAATCATTCATATTTGATAAATCCCTTATCAATTTCTCTAGTACGATCGTATCGCATAGAAAATTTCATTTCCTTGAAACATTGTTAGCCACGTCATCATTCATATTTTATATTCAAAAGAAATCGTATTAATTAATGTTATGTCTATTTTAAAGACAACTATTTTAATAATTATAAATTAATGTCTTCTTCTTTTTTTTCTGTTTTCCTACAGATGGTGACAAGGACAAAGAAGATATTCGTCGGGGGATTATCGGCGCCGACGACGCTGGAGGATGTCAAAAATTACTTCGAACAATTCGGTCCGGTAAGTACAAACAATAATTTTACGGCACTATCACACTGTTTTATGTATTACAAGTCGATAGATTTTTTTTTTAATGAAGTTGAAGACATAAATATAAAAAAAAAACAATTTTCTATGTGATTAACATATTTGATAATTTACATTTTTAAATGTGTATCACATTTATAATCAGCAAAGTAAAGAGTTAAGATTATATTAAAATATATCACGAAATCTCTTTATTGATTTGATGAGATTTTATATTGTGTCGAATTTATAAAACTTGGTGCAAAATTGATCATGTACCAGCATTATGTAACATATCGCTCCGTTCCACTGGAGTCATGGGCAATGAGAGCAATATCATTGACTATCATTTCAGTTGGTTACATTATCGATGTATCGCACATCCTCACCATTTCCTCTCGCGTCGCAAAATCGAGCGGCACTGTCGACGACTGTGATTCATGGGATTTACATTGTTTAGTACTTTTGCATATTTTATTGGCCATTTCGCGCGGAACGCTATTGATTTTTGGACGAACAAGTGCACTCATTTCCATTTACACGACGTCAACGGCGCGCGACGACAATTCTGTCTCGCTGCAGTTCCCATGAATTTTGATCGTTATGGCTAACAGTGATATCGAGGTATCGCTATTTGGATTGTTTCAAAATGCGTGACATAATATTATTCACGTGCGAATGATCTCATTCACTCTGCTTGCCTAACTTGTTCATGGATTACGGGAAAATCAATCTTTGTTAATCACATTATTGCTGAAATCACATGTTTAATTTTCCTTGTTCTTCAGAAAGATTGCTTTGATGTATATATTAAAAAGGGAAAAATCAAAGCGAAAAGAGTAACTACTTGTGCTAAAAATTGACTTTAAATTCATCGAATATAATATGCAATATTTTGTTATCTATTTGGTATAAATATTTAATATTCCTTGAATAAATGACGTCAAAATGTTTGAAATATTTTACAATGGCGAAATAATTTCATATCGCTTCGGAAAATTTATTCTATGAAAAATTAAAATGTTGACCAATAATTTGACGTGTCTTGGAAGCTGAGAATACTTACTTATCACAAGATCCACTTAAGAAGATGAAGGAATCTAGGGCGTTCTTGTGGATGTTTCGAATAGCAGATTATGAGACTAGAAATTGATAGCTGAGCCATTGTAGAATTTCGACCAATTAGCTTTTATCGATCCTTGAAAAATTTTTAGAACGCGTTATTGTGCGGGTTTCTTTATCTTGATAATAATGCTTGAATCTGAAGAACTAAGAAATAGAACACATGCGCAATTTGCGATTCCAATTCCGGCGTGATTGCTCTAAATGGTTTCTCACAAGGAAGTACTAATAAATGATCCTAAAAGCAGAATGGAATAATAGGTATTAAGTCGAAAGTTTTTGATTATCTCGTTTCCGTTCTAAAATCGTATCATAATTAATAGAATTATTACAGGTCTAAAATATTTCGTTTAAATGCAAATATTATTTTCGGCGAACTAGAAATTCACGCCAACCGTTTTATTATCTTCTTATTAGCATAGTCTCATTAGCATAGTTTTTAATGAACATATATTTTTGTAGTTTATGAAGTGACTGTAGAAATTTTTAAAAACTTCCGTTTATTTTCAATATACGCGAATTCTTCACGGGGTTTATATGTTAGTCACATTTGAAATGTCATCAGACATTTTTTTTTAGGTGTTTAGCTTGCGTGCAGTAAATATTTTGACACAGTTGACATTTTAGCCTATAATTCGTTTTAGGTCAGTTCAACGCAATAAAAATAGGTACGTCACGCATGAAACTTACACGATAGCGTCTTTACATTACGGTGAATCAGATTCCTTGTCACGGTCAGACGTTCATACTGCGCGGGACGTTAAAGTCCACGGCGAAGCGATCGTCTACGGGGAGAATCGATGCCGCTTATCATCGAAAGCGGGGAATCGAGATACGAAATTCGGCATCGCCGAATGGTCGCATAATAAGGCGATCCCGGTCCGGGTCGTCCGTTGCAGATGCAGCCGGCGGATATAGAAATTTATTGGAAAACTTGGTCGATCCCAGACGGCGGGAAATATATGCTCGGGCTCGGGCAGGTGACATGATGTGGTTCCGAAGGATCGAGGGTAGTGGAGTAGAGTCGGCGGATGAAAGAGAAGAGAGAAGAAAAGGAAGTCGAGGCGCACACGTTTGTCCGCGGCATGAGCTAGAAATGGACTTGAGATATCAGAGCCGTTGCCGCTATCTCCAACTTAAACCTACCCCTAATTCTGTCCTATCTCTCTCTCTCTCTCTCTCTCTCCTCCTCTCTCTCTCTCTCCTCTCTCTCTCTCCTCCCTCCCTCCCTCCCTCCCTCCCTCCCTCCCTCCCTCCTCCCCTCCCTCCTCTCTCTCTCTCTCTCTCTCTCCGCCTAACACGACCGCCGCATTTAATTCTCACATCGAAGGATGAATTTTCCGGCGGAAACGGCCGTTCATTGATCCACCGCCGATGAAGTTTGCTCGTTGAGATATCGAGGAGTGCACGATAATCACTGCGCCCTTGTGTTCGCGAATGACAATCCTGAGAGCTTTGATGGCTGTTCTATTTCGAAAGCGCAAAATAACGCGCTTTTGTACAATTATCTGTCATTAACTTTATCGCATTGACAAAAATGAATGTGGTTATATAAGGATCGAAAAAATTCGCAAATCCTTCTCGTATACACTTACATGAATTCAACGATGATCTTCTTTTTGAAAGAAGGACAATTAATAATAAAAAATGATATTTGCCGTTATCGTCGATTCGTGTTTCAAAAGTCGATGAATTTTGCTTTGATAAGCAAGCGAAATCTGAAATTACATTTCTCGAGCTAATTAATGTTCTTTTGAGATAAATACAATGAGACAGCAATATTATATAATAACTTGTTTCACGCTTAATTACATTCAATTATAGTCTGACGTGCGAATCTGCTTGCGAGCAAAATTTGGAGCAAAAATAAACAGTTTCGCATTCTACGCCCGCTCGCATTTCTCTCGTCGACTTCTATATTCGTCGGTAAATAATATTTCCAGCGTTCGAACGTTCTCGTTTTGTTTCTTTTCGCGTAGAATATTACCGCGGTCTACAATACATCACTTGCAATCGCGCGCACGCTTCCAATATTCGTTCGCCGTTTCGTTTTCACCTGTAGAACACGCGGGGGACAGGGGGAGTAGCTGGCGCGGGGGCACGGGGACACGGGGAGGGCCCGGGGACTTCTGGGAGTTCTCCTGCGTCTGCGACCCTGCGCGGCTGCGTGGCTGAATAAATAAATTTAATGGCGCTTGTCACGTAGCAAAACGGGATAAATTCCGGGCGTCTGACAGCCATTTAAAACAATGCCGTCGCGAATACACGCCATTTGTAACCCGGTGCTTTTGTTTCACGTTGCTATTCATTCCCTGCAACCCCCGTACCGCTGGTCCCCTTCGTGCCGCCACCGCTACCGTCACCTATTCTATATCCGCCGACATCACCATCGTTCGACCAATCCGCGAACCGGGAAAGCCACGCCAGCACGTTGGTAGCGGACTGCGCTGTCGGATTCATGCTTCATTTTTTATCCCCGATAAAAATGCAATTAAGGCTCTTTGATAAGGCTCGAGTTGTGCCCATTGTACCCCTTTCTCGACCTTATATCCCGATCCCATTCATCCCGACTGGTTGGAAATGCAGCGGCCATTATTTGCGCGGAAAGATCGCTTACTGTGAAATGTCAACGTCCTTCAGCTCCTTTGGATGCAAATCCCGTCTGATAGCAGCATACTAAGCCGTACCAGAATCGTACCAGGCATCTTAACTTTTTTACTTCTTTCTATTATAATTTAATTACTCTCCAACGCAAAACTCAGGTGTTTCTTTCAGGAATAAACTGAATGCGAAAAATACCTCATTAGCCTCTTTTTCATTTCACGCTTGTAGAATAGCTTCGTTCATTTTAACACGTCACGTTTTAATTGTTTTTGCAGAACGAGAAGTGAGTCCTAAATTCATATACAAGAAATAAATTTATTTAAATTAGGTGGCATTACTTCTAATATATTTCTAATATATTTGTCTGGTTGAAAATTATCTCAAATATGACTTTATATTATTTATATTATTAAAATTACATATGGAATTTCTTAGGATAACTGAGAGAAGCTGATAGTCTTTGAAATATTTAGTCTAAACACAATCGTTATGAGATTTTGTGGGGAGTTATTCTTTTTCGCTTATATCCTGAAACGCGGCAGGTTCCGCTCGATTTTCGCAGAGCGAATTCTCGTGCGAGCGTAAAGCTCGTAGAAATACCCGGGGATTAGTTGCCTTGAGAGAGGGAAAACGAGCGGATAGTCGCGTAACAGCACTTCGCGAGCGCTTTTTTCCCGTCGTCGCGACGTAACCGCCGTATATCACGTTATGGCGCTTATCAGACGGGCGTATATCTCGGGCGTTTCGCGGGCATGACGACGGGAAAACTGGGAGTGAGGGAGTCGAGAGAGAGAGAGAGAGAGAGAGAGAGAGAGAGAGAGTGTG